CCAACTAACTCTACTTTGCTAGCCTTGACCTTTACTCTTCCAAATACTTGCAAATGTTTTAAGTCCCCTTATTTGTTGTCCTTGACCACCATGTATAATTAACAGTTTTAATATTCCCTGCTAATTGTTTTAATTGTCTTTCATTTTATTGTCTTCAAGATGTTGTAAACAAATGATGTGATTCTGCTGGAGTGTTACAAAACCAGTTCTCACTTTCTGTATCTAAAACTACAAACTTGAGTAGCTTAAGATATTATTTATTATTTGTAAAGCATTTCCACAGAACTTCATATTAATAGACAGGAATTCTAAAATGCATCATATCCTTCAGTTGCTATGGGATCAAAACTCATTTTAACTATGCTTCCATATCCTGTTTATGACGCAGTGTTGCACACAAAACTATATTAACACTTTATTGTTATTTTCATGTGATGGTTTTGGCTAGGGTAGAGTTAATTTTCTTCATAGTACCTGGTAGGGGCTGTGTTTTGGATTTGTGCTGGAAACAGTGTTGATAATTTAGGGATGTTTTAGTTACTGCTGAGCAACATTTATACAGTCAAGAATTTTTCTGTCTCTCCCCCACTCCACCAGCAATGGGGCTGAGGATGCACAAGGAGCTGGAGGGGACAGTTGGGACAGCTGATCCCAACTGACCACAGGGATATCCCATAACATAAGAAGTCATGCTCAGCATACAATATTGAGAAAGAAGGAGAAAGAGAGAAGAGTTCAGAGTTGCGGCATTTGTCTTCCCTAGTAACCATTCCATGTGATGGAGTGTGGGGATGTGCTTTCCTGGGGATGTCTGAACACCTGCCTATCCCCAGGAAGGGGTGAATGAATTCTCTATTTTGTGTGGCTTTTATCTATTATACAGACTGTATCTCAATCCACAAATGTTCTCACTTTAATTCTTCCAATTATTTCCCTCAGCCCACTGAAGGGAGGGAACAAGTGGCTGTGTGGGGCCGAGTTTCCAGCTGGGATAAAACCATGGCAATCATATATGTTAAATTATTGTGGCAGCATAGAGGAGCACCTGCAAAGTCCAAAGATGCTGATGCTAGTCAGTTTCTGAACCTAAGGAGTTTGTAATCTAAGCAATTTAAACCAACACTTACTTTTACATTATCTACAGATAACCTCAGAGTGTGAGTATGCAGACCCCAAATCTGTACTCACACAGCAGAACCACTGGTTCATTTGTTACAGGATAAATGTCACTGTGGTTATAGACCTAAACTGTATCACCCTACCTGGTCTCTGCATCTCTCTACAGATGAGTGTGTTGTTCATTGTTACCGATACAATTCTGCTGTTATGTCATTATCTAGGGTTTCTCCACAGAGAGATAGAGCATATAGCTCCTCTCTCTCTCCATAGATGTAATACACATATACCCATTTGCAACTGCTTTTTTCAGGGTACAAACTGGGAGAGACAATAAAATGTATTGTCCTGTAGCTGCTTCAGGGCTATTATTGTTCTCCCAGTGCTCCCCAGAATACCCTAAACAAAAGCCTTGAAAAATGTGGTCATTACATTTTCAAGGAGAGAAATCTCAACTGCAGATGGAGTTAAACAGCTCCATGGTTCCTGTAAAATTTAGTTACTTGCAGTGTGCATGAGCAATCTGTGAGCAGGTGTCAACACAACCATTAAATTATGGGTTAATTTTGAAATTTAGAATCTTGTGATCTCATTTCTGACTGTAAGTTGTGCAGGCATGGCTCTCATAGCAGAACTGCAACTGGACAGATCATTTTGGTAAAAGGTGGGATGAACCATGATTGCAAGGATATGATTAAAAGGAACATGATATCCACAGAAATGCTTGCAAACAACTTTTCAAAATACTTTAACAACTCTAGCAGCCACTTGATTAGAAGACTGAAGAAGGTATACCAGGTTTATATAAAATGTCCAGAATTATTAATATTTCTGATAAAAAACCTCCACAAAATAAAAGCATAAACCAGGACAACCATGGTAAAAGAGCTTGTATGTTAAAATTACATTTCTCTTGTACTGAAATACAACACCTACCAAAGTCAAATTACCTACAATGCTTTGACCGCTCTAAACAATGCTACTGCTGATTCCTCTTGTATACTCTCAGTCTAAGCAAGAGGAAAAACAGAAAGAAAGACCAAACAAAGGTAATTTCAGACTGTGCACATAATAGTCACATTGTACCTGTGCTTCCACACCTGACCATGTCCCAAGAGCGGATGAAAGTGTCATGCCAGCACCTGATGAGAGAAAACACTTCCAGTGCTCTGTCCTTTGTGTGATTCCCAAAATGACCTGACCCCTTTGGTCAGCTCTCCGTTACCAGCACTTCACTTCTGCTAAACTTTTACTGACCAAGCATTCGTGAGAGAGATCTCTGGTGGCATTTGCTAAATTTCCCTTTTCCTAGCAGGCTTCTCTGCCCAGTTCTCATCCTGGGCACACTGCAGAATCTGCTCAAAGTGCAGTGCACAAGGGTTTGGGGGTTTACTAATGCAGCACTGTAGGACCTCACCTTATCCCAGCTGGGCTGAGAGACATCAGTACAAAGTTTACCCATGTAAACAGAAAACTGGCTCAAAGGGAGTCAAATGCAGAATTATTTATACTAAACTATTTATTAGTAAATTATTTATATCAAGTATGTGGCTATAGTCTTGAATGTGAACCAGCACCAGGTTTAACAGCTTTAGGAGAATACAGTGAATACAGTGCTGCAGCTATGCTCTTTGATCTACCTCAGCTGAATGGAGACAGCAAAGAAGGTGAGAACAGCCAGGACAAACTTGCTGCTGAGATGCCATATTTACCAATTAAATACAATTTGCTAAGAAAAAGTCATAACCTCTTTCACTCACCACACACTTGGATTACCCAGTCTAACCAAGAAAACAATGGTTACAGAAAGCTGGTTCTTTTTCTTTATTTTTTAATTCCTTCAGCACCCCCCCCCCCCCCCCGGCTTTATTTCTTGCAAAATATCCAGGAACAATAGCAATAGTAACTAGATTTATTTCTGCTCATTGCTATAGTATGCTGTGGGTGCCAGATGTGCAAGTTTCCATACACAAACTAAGAATGTGACTGAATTTTAGTTAAATGAAATCACTTCTAAGAGAAGGGACACTTCAGTTCTATGGACATTTACCTCTCTATTTAACCCTAGTTTTCACTGCTCAGACTGCTGGGTACTGATGGATGTGATCATTTCTCTACCAAGATACAAACTTCCTATGTTCATTCACAAGCGAACAGCTGCCTGGTGATATGAACCACTTTTTACCACCTCTGATCTACGTTTTACTTAAATTCAGTTTTAAAAAAACCTTATGTACTGTCATTGTCCTTGAGGAAAAGAAACAGTACACACAGACCTCTTTTTACTCCTTTAAAAAGTACCAAGCCAAAGATGTCACTCTAAAATCTGCTTTCAGCTACTCATTTTTACTTAAACTGTATGCAACCTATAAAAATCAGATCTAACATTTGGCCAGGTAATAAAATGCATTTTTCTCACCATTGTAGTGCAGAAATTTACTCAATACCTCGTTACAATAACTAATATATGCTACAATAAAAACTGAGTTTGCCTAGACAACCAAAACCTATCAACTTTTACCATAGGTAATCAATGGTTCAGTTTATACATTTCTTTCTTGCAACATTCTCTATAACCAAAGAACAGGTTGTAAAGGAGACTGTATATCAATGTGTAGTGGAAAATCAGCACCAAGTGTCTCCGGAGTTCAGTGTTCACAGTAGAGAATACAGACGTGTTTAAAAGCCATTCTCATATCTTTCTCTCATACTATCTTAAGAGCACTCAGGTGTTTCTCATGGCAATTCAAAATCATGCAAAACTTCACAACACTTCAAACAAAGCAACAAAGGCAAGAACTTACTTTGAAGAACAAGAAAATGATATTTTTAAAGGCCCAGTAGCCCTGCCCCATTAAAATACACTGTGGTTAGTACATTTTGGTTTCAAGTCCCAGTGAAGTTTACAGAGAGTCAAGACAATGCCAATCCAAAACTGCTACTTTGTTGATTTCCCCTGAAAACTCAACAAATTCAGGTCACTTAAAAAAACACGTATAAGTGATGAGACACAGTAAGGGAACTCTTAGTTGAAATAATACTTAGCACTTCAGTAGAACGATGTAGCCAAGGATCTACAAGTAGTTATGAAACTAATTAATTAATTAAACTTCTCAACACCCCTGTGAAGCAAGCAAGCACATTTATCTGTTTTATGACGAAGAAAAGAGAGCCATGGGGAGGTGGAGTGACTTGCTCGAGGGTACCCAGCTAGAGTCTTTCAGAGTAATAAACAGCATCTGAATTATTGACTCACACTGCTGCCCTTCAGCTGAATTGTTCCTTTTTTTGAAATACTCCACTGAGTTATAATAATAGTTGGCATGATAAACATAATGTGGCAATATTTAGGCTGAGATTTTCTTTGTCTTTGTTTAGACTACATTAAAATTTTAGTGTTATTTAAATTGCAGTTGATCTTCTTAGCGTGACTGAAAAATCTCCAGGGTTGAGCAATATTTCTTGTATTTTATTCACAGTTGTGACTACTTTTTATGTTGCCATTGCTTATGGCTAAAACCAAAGCCACTCCAACTTGAAAACACAGGAAAATATCACAGTTTTGTATTGCTTCAAGAGCGAGCGACAGAAGAATAGAGAGGGTGGCTACTTTCATTCATACCAAACTGAATTTTAAGAGCTGGCATGAGACACACCAAGTGATGATGCACTGCTTTCATGCAACACTAGCTATAGGAATTGCAACTCGCTGCCTGGGGCTGAGAAGACTGAGCTTCCCGGGCTGACAGCTCTGGTCCCAGCTCACTTAAAACTTTCCCAATTAAAAAAAATTAAAAAGAAGTGGCAGGAAGTTGCATCGGGCAAGTCGCTCTGTTCCTGTCTCTCAGCTTGCCTAGGCGCAAGACAAGGATGCTACTGCTTACCTTTCACACACGCATGTTTGGGAGGCTGAACTCTTCGGCTAAAGGCTCGGAGGCTGCGCGGTCCCGGTGCTGCGGAGGAGCAGAGCTGTTACCCACGGCGCCCGCAGGTGAAGCTTCGCACAGAAAGCGCCACGTCCCCCCGCACCTCCCCCGGGCTGCGGGGCCGTCCTGCGGTGCCCCGACAGCAGCTCCATTCCGCCGGGGCCAGCCCAGCCGGGAAAAGCCCGTCCGTGCCCGGGGCTGCTCCAGCGGGACGCCCCGGCCCCGCCGGCACCTGGAGCCGCTCCCGCCGCTGCCCCGGGCCTGGGGACCGTGTAGCGCTCGCACTCACCGTGCCTTCCAAGCGCTCCGGCCAGCGGCGCGCCCGCCCCGGGAGCCGCGGGGAGCCGGGAGCGCGATGGAGGCGCGGGAGCGATGGAGGCGCGGGAGCGCTGCCCGCCCCGCACAGCACTCACCGCCCGCGGCCCCAGCCCCGCACAGCACTCACCGCCCGCCCCGCACAGCACTCACCGCCCGCGGCCCCAGCCCCGCACAGCACTCACCGCCCGCCCCGCACAGCACTCACCGCCCGCGGCCCCCGCCCGGCGCCGACCGTCCGTCAGAAAGTTTCTCCTCCGCAGCCCCGGGGGACGGAGCGGGGAGGGGGGTGAGGGGTGCGTTTTTCAGCGCAGGAAGAAAGTGACTCCCCCCTCCCGCTCCACCTCCCGCTTCCCCGCCCTCCTTCCGTACCTCTCCCCGTCCTCCTCCTCCTCCTCCTCCCTCCGCCGCTCCGCCGGCCCCTCACGCCATGGCGGCCCGGCACGCTGGAGCCCGCCCCGCCGCTGCCCCGGCCCGGCCCGGGCGCTCCGCTCGCTCCGAGTGTGCCCCTGTGTTTGTTTATCCCTGGCGCGCACACGGCTTTCCTCCCCCGCCCGTTCCTCCCCGGCTCGAACTTCACGGAAATGCCCTAATTCTCCCTTTTGGAGGAAGGGCTCGTTTCTCCGCAGGGAATGTTTTGGTTCCAACACCAGAGGATTCCCTGGAGCTCGAGAGTACGGCAGCGGTACCACGGGGCGGGCAGGGTGGCTGTGGAGGTGACAGCATCCCCGGTGTCCCATTCATATTCATTGTCCATCCCTGCTGCTGTCACCATGCTGCATGACAGGAATAAGACCTCCCACCCAAAAGTCCCCTCAAGCCAGCCAAGAAACAAAAAGCCGATTTGTCAATCTGCTCTTGTAAGTTTGGTGTGGCTACTTACATTAACGTTTCCCATGTAAAAGAAGAAAAAAAGTGAAACGCCGTGACTGTTCAAGTCAGCCATCCCGACATTTTTCATAGCCACACAACTGAAGATATTGCAGAAAGTAATATGAAAGAGGATAAAATAAATGATCCTTTGGAACCTTTCTTCTCAGTCACTGTTGCCAAGACAAAGTTCGGAGTGAAGAATTCTGAATGCTTGTTAGGTTTTGAAAGCTGAGCATATTTCATCGACTACGTAATGAAAATAAAAATGTTTACATGTGATAGATCAGGATGGTCTCCAATTACTTGAAGCTTATGTCTCACAAAGCATATTCCTCATTTTAGTAATGTGTTTACTGGTGTTACTGAATCAGTCAGCAGGCTCATAAGTGCTCAGTTTCCTGTTCTAAAATGCAAAATCTGTATTTTCTGAGGATGGTTTTAGAGAGATTCACTGTGGTTTAAAGTGTGATTTCCTGCTGTCCTATCAGGACTAATAAACTTGTGATTAGTTTGGAAGCTAAACAAAACCAGATACTACACATTTCCCTTCACCCTTCCATTTCTGGTGTATTTCTCAGCAATATCTATTGACAGTCTCATCCCTAAAGAGAAGGGATCCACATGTTGTTGCTGCAAACTCCAAGCAGTGCCAGAACCTGGAATGGAGCCTTGCTTTTTCACCAGTAATGACATGCCTAAAGCACAAAGTGCTTCAGTTTCAGTCATGCAAACACTAGATTAATCTTTAGAAGATATCTTTCTGAACGCCTATTTGAATGGTATTAGGAACACCTATTTGAATGGTATTAGGATCCACTGAACTGATAGTAGAGTTGTAAAATATTGAGGCTGTAATACAAATGAACGTGTATTACAGCCTCAATTACATGTATTACATGAAGAGCTGCAGACCTCACAGTCAGTCCAGATGTAGTGGATAGGCTGATTCTACTGGAATTTCTAAAATTACCAGGGTGCCTAAAGTGATCATGAGGAAGGTGTTTAAGCACTTTTCACATCTGTATCATTAGCTATGTAAATATATTCAGTACCTGACTAAGTTAAACGGAATTAGCCCTTAAAATTCTAAAAAGCACAATGTCTGGATGGCTTTTAAAATCCTGCCCTTGGTCTGTGCATGGATCCCTCTGTATTGTAGAAAAGCTGCCCTGTGCTGCCCTGTGATCACAAATGCCCAGGCAAAGCACACCATGGGCTCTTGGCTTCCTGCCTCCTAAGGGATGAGACTGGAGGTGCTGCTTGGATCTTGCAGTTAAAATATGGCGGAGATACCAACAGGATGGAGAGCCACAAATCCCCTCTGCCTCGTGTGCTCTTGTGTAAAACAGGGCTTGTTGTACTTCCCAGTAACTCAGAGTGCTTGTCAGGCTAAATGGATAAATTAACATTTATAGGATGACTCAGCAGTATCTAGGAAAGGCAAGATCTGTCCACACTGGATTAATTTCAGCATTGCCACTGGTAATTTTGAAATGAAAATGGCCCCAGCTTTAGCAGGCATCATGTACAGTGAAAGACTGAAAAAATTCCTGAAAGAAGCCTCAGGAATAGAAGCTGGAGGAAGATTGCCTTCAACTATGTAAAAGCTGCTGAAAAGAAGATAATAATCTCTTATCCTCATCCTCTGAAAACAGCATGTAAAATGCAGTAAGAGAAATTTAGGCTAGGTAGGATAAAAAAAAAAAAAGTATTTTTAAGGAGAAGTGAACAGCACCTCTCTCCCCTGGAGGCTTTTTAAGTGCAAGTTGGACATATATTTGACAAGAACAGTTCAGAGCTAGAAAGTCTGATGAATATTGCCTCAGAGCAAGGGGTGGACCAGATGACCTGTCAAAGTCCTGTTTCGTGTGATTATGTTCAAAATGCTACTTGCACAGGCAAGATCACAGATCGTCTTTGATCTTTTTCTGCCCTTCACTTCTTTAGCCATGGGCATAGCTCCTCTTGCTGAGGCTGTTTCTCTCAGTGGTTTGCTGGCCTTGCTGCATGCCAGTGAATTCAGCGCTGACAGCACGAAGAAAACAATTAAACAATGAAACAATGTCAATTTGGAGCAGCAGCTCTGGGTGGGATCCATCTAACCTCTGAATGTGTCATGCACTTTTGTTCAGTCCTGGACTGGGAACTACCTCTGATCTAGTCACGTTAGACTGTTTATAACACTGCAGAGAAAAATAAATTCCTTTACAGCAGAATTCATCTGACCTGTTTTAGATGTCTTCATTAGGATGTGATGAATCATGTCCCTAGGCTATCTGTTCTTGCCACCAAGCATAAAGTAGGTTTAAATGACTGACTCAGTAACATACCATCATATATTTTCCATTCCTCTGGTGCTTCTGTCCCTGAAATCTCTCAGTCCCTTTCTCCTTTCAAGTAGGAAACCCCTAGTTTATTTGTTCCTTTTTTCTTCATTATTTTAAAATTTTATTTTGTTTTATTGGAAAAGTCCCACTGAAGTTAATAGTTTTTGTAGCTGTCATTTCCCTGAGTTGCATCATGTGACACTGAAATGTACAGCAACCTGACCTTTTGGGTGGCATTGCTCCAGAATGGATTTGGGAAAGGAACTAAATTTACCTACTGGAGCTAAGACCATTGACTTGGCTGGTTGTGCAGAGTATGTTTCATGGAAAATTTTTGAAAACTGTTCAGGTCAGACACTGTTCTACTCCTACGTCACATGCTCATTATTTTTCCTTGGTCTTTATGGCAAGCCTCATTACATGCAATGTCTGGTGTCTGTGTGACTGAGCCAAACATATGTGAGAAACATGCTCTTTTCCAACAATGGCAAATTTTTTAGGTCACACTCAGAGAAATCACTGTGCACCTAAGTGCAGTGCATGTCTTGAAAATTTCTGTGGCATCAGAGACACTGTGAGCAGCCACCTCTTGGTAATATTTATCCTTTCTTCTTTGAGAATGAAAAGCTTCCAAGAAAGCCCAGCAGTTATCTGGCTTGCAGGAGAGGGAAACACACTTTACTTTCCTGCTGCAAGCTAGATCATGAGGATGTGAAGAGGAAACAAACCCAGTTCCTTCAGTAGGACAGGGAAAAAGGAAGGCAGCAGGACCACATGGAGCAAGTGATGTAGGGCTCATTCTGGGGCAGACACCAAGTGTCTGCTGATGCTTCATACTCTTAAAAGCCTTTGATTCTCGCTTTTTGGAGTTTGGATGTTTGGAATTTGTTTCTCTTCCTTGCTGACTGAAGATGTTAGCCTAAAGAGGGAAGCTATATTTCATTCTACCTGTTCCACATATGCAGCTTTGGCCATCCTTTTCTTTCTTCCTGCCCAGTCTATGCAATAGCATTTTTTTCTTCTTTGAATTTTCCTCTGTGTTCTTGGGGCTTCTTTTGTCTTATTTTGCTTGTTTGATTGATTTTGTTTATTTTGTTTTGGGATTTTTTATTGTTATAGGTACCCGCCTCTCACTAAAGACCCTCTGTTCTCTATGTGATCTATTTGGTCTCTAAATTCCATTAAGAAACAATTCTACAGTTGCCATTAAGTGACAAAACTCTTCGAATAAAAAGTGAGAGAAACAAAAAATTCTCCAGATTCTTTCAGTAATTCTTCAAAACAATTGATTTGGTTATGACCATAACCCTTGTGTTTTCTTTGCCTTTTGTGTCCAGATGTGATGATTTCCCACCCTAGAGCTGTGAGCTGAAACCTGTAGGACAAGAGGACTACGCCAGTCTCTTCTTGCAGCTGACCTGCAGAACTGCAAATCTGGATACTTGCATATTGCTCACTCTGCCCTTCTTGATCTGAGATGCTCTGCCCAGCTCTTCTCCTTGGACTT